TTTGCAGCCAGGGAACACAGCATGGCGGGGGTGGTATTGACAGGTGGAAAGTTACTAAGCAGACATCAAGGGAAGGGACTGCCGGCTCAACTCACCTAGCAGGGTTCTGACAAAATGCAGCGGGAGGCCTGGGGCTCCAGCTCTCACACCCAGTGAATCGGTGGAGCAGGACCCTGGGTAGGAAAAGGAACCGCTCTTCCAGATCACTGAACTCTGCTAAAGGAACTAATATTCAAGGTTGCAGAAACACTAAGAGGGGAGTGTTATAAGGACGTGGATCTAGAAAGGAAACTGACGACTCAGAGATGCCAACGGCATTGCTCAACCCCCTCAGAGCCATCTGTTTTCCTCGTGGCCAGGCCTCTGCAAGCTGAGCCCCAGGGAGTCAGGGAGAGCCCCTGAAGCACCAGCCAGCAGCCTGTGTCCCTGGAGGTCTCTCTGTGTCCCTTCCACTCAGATGTGGTTTCTGTCACTGTCTCTGATCTGGTGAATGCACTCCTTGAGAAAGTAAATGTTAGTCTTGTAATCCAAAATGATGAGTGCCATGCACACATCGGTCCCTGAGCAGAAACGTCCGAGGGATTCTCATTGTTCCATGAGGTGCGAAACAGACCACAGACACTGGGCTCTGCTCTCTCTCGCCTCTGTCTGCAAGGCTGCCAGCAGGCTTCTCCACATGTATCAGTTTCCCCATGACGTGGCATCATCTCTGCTGGAGCCAAATGTGTTACCAATGTTGGCCTGTGGTCTAGAAGCATCTGCATGTCCTCCATCCTTCATCACTGGGGATAGGGAGGTGAGAAGGAGGGAGACTGTATATAAGCGACAGGCTTGACCCCAGAGAACTCCGAACACTCTGTAAAGAAGGCTCCTGGGCTTCTCCTTTAGGAAGCTACCAAATCCTGTGGCTGCTCAGTCCAGGCTCCTGCTGTAGACACCAGGTGCTAATTGCTCAAAACCCAAAAGGCAGAATCTCAACTCTTGGCCAACTGGATTTAAGCACTTGTACCTTTAGGTGATGTTTATATGTTTGGTCATTTATTTATTATGGCATTGTTTAGTGTTAATATTGCTTATTTATTATAGAGAATTTCTGCCATTCACCTAATTTCTCACTCTAGTAATTCAGCTCATGGGATCAGTAGTCAAAAAGGCAGCCTGGGAGAACAGGGCTTTCTCTTTCATCATCTGGCAGAAGGGAAACATGCCCCCTCCTGGGCAGCTGGACTCCTCCAGGTTACGTGGCTGCTGGAGGCCCCAGGCTCTGTCCTGGGTCTGTGTCTCTGCTAGCACATCTTTGAAGCTATAGGCTGCTCTGTCACTTTTAATCGTGTTTAAATATCACCACTGATGCCCAGACACCACAGTTTAGAAGGCAGCCCACCTCTCCAGATGCATGACCACAGAAAAGGGAAAGCATTTACTCAAGGTCACCATATATCAGGAGTAGCTGCCCAGCCACTGTAACCTTTCACTTCCTGTTACAGCACACTGGACATGGCTCCTGCAGCTCCTGACAGCACCCTACACTGGTGTCTGTTCTAGAAGGATTAGAGAGGTTGCTGCCTCAGCCCAGCTGACCAAGCCTGCAGCAAGTGCCAGCGTCCTGACAGAGAATGACAATGGGCGGTGGCATCACACACAGGAAACAGGCCAGCACTCCAGCCCCCACCCCACACTCCAGCCGCCACCATGGTCCTGCTATCTGAGTGACCTACACCTGCCTCCTAATGACAAAAGACAAGGGATTTGTGTGTCTTTCAGCTTACCCTCTGCACAACACATCCTCCTGAGACTCTAGCCCCAGTGGCCAGGGAAGTTGGGGGCCACAGAGGAGACCCAACTCCCACACTTGGGAGGTGACCATTCTGCTCACAAGCACCAGGCCAGGGGCTGTTCTCTCTTTCCCTGTCTGGGGATCTCTACCCACTTTCCTGCATCATGTGCAGCCCTGTTTGAAGACCTTCCCTCCCTCTCCCAGCAGTAAACACCATGCCTGGAACACCTGCTGTGTCTGGTGGGGTGCATGGCTTTTCTAGGGGTGCTGGATTCACAGTGGGGTGAGAAGACCGCTGGGCCTTGGGTAACAAGGTCCCCAATTCTAACACTGAACATGAACCCATCAGTAATGTTGTTTCCACTGTTGAGTTCCTGCCGATCCAGCCCAGCCATGGCCGAGCCCCAGGATCACAGCGGGTCTGGGCGGACGCTGGCCGACCCTCACCTCCACCACTCCCAGGAGAGTCCTCTGGGTGCCCTGCAAAGGCCCAGGGTTTCTAGGTGTTTCTGGCCAAGCCTGCCACCTCACCATAAGGGCATTTGCCACAGGGTCACCTTCAGGCCTGCAGGGTGGGGTTGAGACAACACGGGGAGCAGTTGTCTGCTCAGATCCCCCCCCAACCCCGCTCCCCACTCCCGGAGTCACATTCCAGCCCAGGTCCGCAGCCTCCCGAGCTGGGAGCTCTGACAGTCCTCGATCTGGGGAGAAGGAGAACTCACAATCCTCATAATGAAGCAACTCAGGGGCTGCTGGAAAGCCACGCTGAGCAAAGGACAAAGACACCCGGGGCTCAGACTGCAGGACTCATTCCTGGGAAGCTAAGGATAGGCGAAAACGCAGTCCACAGGGCCGGATGGGGGCTGCCAGGGCCGGGTGGGCACGAGGGTGGGCTGCAGAGGCAGGAGGACCGCATGTGAGGCGAGGCAGAAGTTACAGGCCTGGACAAAGTGGTAACATGGGTGTACGCATTAATGAAATTCTCCATACAGTATTAGGCATTTTGTTGTCCATAAATTCTGCCTCATTCACAGCAATGTTCTAAAATCAGGTGAGTTCTCCAAGCAGTGCACAGAGGACCAGCGCCGGCAGCATGGCTCCCAAAGGGGAGAAGCAAGAGAGGCCCGTGGGCTCCCACATTCATCCTGCGGCTGCCGCTCCCTCCCTGACACCCCATGAAGGTCTCCTTGCACCTTCTACTCAGCCCCACCCACAGTTACAGTGAGACTCCAGGTTGCTGCCTTCCCTGCTCACACCTCCTCCAGGAGCTTCCTCTTCCTGGAGCAGGCCCGCCCAGCCCCACCTCAGGGCCTTTGCACTGGCTGTTCTGGCTGCCTGGGGCTGTTTCCTGTCTCAGCAGGGCTCCGCACCTTTCCAGCCTCACAGAGACTCCCTGACCAGGTCCAGTGGCACCGTCTGTCCCTGCGGCATACTCTCACTTCCAATAGACTCATTTCCTGAAAGTAATTATTGATCACTGTTAGCCATCCTCCCACACAGCCTGCTGGGCTGTGCAGTGCCACAGCCACAAGCCACATGTGGCCATAGGGCACTCGAAATGGGGCCAGTACAACTGACACCCACTCTAAGATTAAAAAGTACACAGGGAATTTCAGAGACTCTGTACCCACACCGGAAAGAAAATCACCTATGTTATTAATGATTCTTATGTGTTGAAATAGTATTTTGGATATATTAGGTTAAGTAAGAAATATTATAAACATTACCATCACCTGCTTCTTTCTTTTTGAAACGTGTCTCCTAGAAAGTTTTAAATTGCTCCCGGGTGGTGTCACCTCTCTGTCTGGTAGCAGCCCTCCAGTGTCATGTCCAGGGCTGGGTCACGCAGGCTCTGTCTCTAGCTCCTAGACCACCTGGTGCAGGAGGAAGCCGGCGACAAGTCTGTTTACTGAATAATGAGGAATTGTGAAAGGAGAACCCAGAGTTTTTTTTTACCCAAATTAATTCCTGTTTGAAAAGTTCCCTAGCACAGGGGAATCACACCTCTGCCTTGGTGATTTCCAGACCTTGATCAAATGCTGGAGGATGCTCAGGACCTCTGAGGATTCCGGGGGGCCAAGACCTCTATTTTTCCCTTTTCTGAGGAAATGAAGCTAGGGGGTCGCATGCTTTTAGGACCCAGAGGCCCTGACAACTCTCTGGAAACCAGGGTCACCCAAGAGTGGGAGGAGTGACAGGTCTTTGGGGAGAGATGGAGCTCAGGGGGTGGAGGTGGGCGTGGGTGAGGAAGGGGTTGGGGGAGAGGGGCCAGGTGTGGGGTTAGAAGAGGGGAAAAAGGATAGGACCGACAGGGACAGGGAGAGGACAGGAGAGAGTAGAAAGGGAAGACAGAGGAGGGTTGGGATGGGGGAGGGGCGGGGAGTAGGGGCAGACCTTAGGGGAGAATGGGGAGCAAGGACAGGAGTGGGGAGGAGGGAGAAGAGGGGCTGTGGAGTAGGTGTCGGGAATTGAAAGGGGAAAGGGATAGATGAGAAAGCCTGGAGAGGGGAGGAATGGAGGGGCCTGGAGTCGGGAGGCAGGAAGGGTCTGGGATGTATGGGGAGGAGTGGAAAAGATAGGCTGGGCAGGGTGGGGAGAGAGTAGACAGGGAAGGAGAACGGAGGGGAGGGAATGGTAGGGAAGAATGGGGAGGCTAGGAGGGGCGGGGAGGAGAGGAGGGAGAAGGGAGGCGGGGGGGGATGGGAGGGAGAGAGGAGGCGAGGGGAGGAATGGGAGGGGGGAATGGCAGGGGGAAGGGATGGAGGGGGAGAGGAAGGACAGGGAAGGACTGGTTAGGATGGGGAAGAACTGGGAAGGATGGGGAGGGGCAGGGGACGGGGTGAGGGGCGGGGACGAGGGAAAGGAGGTTGGGGGAGGGGCAGGAGGGGGAGGGACGGGGAGGCGCGGAAGGGGCAGGGGAGGCCGGGGGAGGGGCGGGAGAGGCGGGGGGAGGGGCGGAGGAGACGTGGGGTGGGGCGGAGGAGACGTGGGGTGGGACGGGGAAGGCGGGTGGGAGGGGCGGGGAAGGCGGGTGGGAGGGGCGGGGAAGGCGGGTGGGAGGGGCGGGGAAGGCGGGGGGGAGGGGCGGGGAAGGCGGGTGGGAGGGGCGGGGAAGGCGGGTGGGAGGGGCGGGGAAGGCGGGTGGGAGGGGCGGGGAAGGCGGGTGGGAGGGGCGGGGAAGGCGGGGTGGGACTAGGCGTTCCGGAAAAGGAAAAGCGGGGCGGGCAATACGGGCGGGGAGGGCCGGAAGGGATAAAAGCGCAGCCGCCGACCCCGCTAGCCTCACGGTCTCTGGATTGCTGCGGGTTCTGTACCTGCAGCTCCAGCCTCTTGCCTGCGCCACGCTTCCCGCGTCCGAGCCGACCATGGCCGGGCCCCTGCGCTCCCCGCTGTTCCTGCTGGCCATCCTGGCCGTGGCCCTGGCCTTGAGCCCCGCGGCCGGCGCGAGCCCCGGGAGGACTCCGCGCCTGTTGGGCGGCCCCATGGACGCCAGCGTGGAGGAGGAGGGCGTGCGGCGCGCGCTGGACTTCGCCGTCAGCGAGTACAACAAGGCCAGCAACGACATGTACCACAGCCGCGCGCTGCAGGTGGTGCGCGCCCGCAAGCAGGTGCGTGCCGCCCCCGGGTCCCGAGCCCCCGCCCGCCCCGCGCCCCTCCGCCGCCCCGGCGACTGGGCTTCTCACCCGGACCCCGTTCCGGGCCTTCGCTGTCACCCCGGGGCCCTTGGCGGGCGTGTCCGGGGATGCTTCGACCCTGGCCTGGCCTGGAGCCGCACGGGCACGCCAGGTCGGCGCCCAGCGCCTGAGATCTGCGTCCGAGGGCCAGCTGGAGCGGCGCCGCTGTGCGGGGGCAGCACAGGACGGCCCGCCCGGCTCGGTCCTCCCGGGACGCTGGGCTGAGGGCGCGCCGCCGAACACGCCGGAGAGGGGAAAACAGCCACTCGTCTGGCTGCCTCCTGGTTCTTTCACCAGATAATTTTTAAGCACTTTAACTTTTTATTCTCACTTAATTTCAGACTTACAGAGCAGCTGCAAAAATAGAACAGGGCATCCCTGTAGCTCCCTCACCCAGATGCCTCAGATGTTAACAGGAATGTTAGCGTTTTGCCCTGTTTGTTCCCCCAGCTCACTCTCTGCCTGTGAGTATGGATGTGCGTATATGTCCTGTATATCCATTTTTTGCCTGACTCTTTTGAGAGTAAGCGCTTCAGTGTGTCTTTCCTAAAATTACAAGGGCGATATCTCACATAACCACGATTCCGTTTTGAAAATCAGCACTGACACATTTATGATCTAATTCTCAGACTCATTCAGCTTTCCCTGACTGTCCACTGGCGGCCTTCATGCCCCACGTTCCTCCTCCCTGAGCGCATGAGCCCAGCCCTGTCCTGTCCCCTTGGCCTCCTTTAACCTGCAGGAGCCTTTGTGTTGTGTCTGTGCCATGACCGTGTCATTCCCCAGGGTCCAGCAGATGTGGATGGGGACTGTCCTGACGCTTGGTGCTGCTCAGGATGAGATCTAGGCCATGAGGCTTGTCCTCCTCCCTGAGTCCTCTCCACAGGGGCCACATGGGAGCCTGGCTCCTTGCCCTGCTTAGCCCAGCTTCCCTCCCCAAGTCACACCCTTGGGCACCGCTCCTTAGGGCTAGCGGCCTTCACCCTCAGGCTGGCTGACCACCCCCTACAGCCCAGGACTGCTGAATTCCTGCTGGGGTGGAACCCGCCTGATGGTCCTGACATAGAGTTAGACCTCAGCCAGATGAGGACAGCAGTCACCCAGCACAGCGGAGGAAGGGGTCAGGTCGGGAGGGAACTTCAGCAGGGTTACCGGGCCCAGCATGACGTGTGTCCCATAGCAGAGCAGCAAACAGTGACACAACGACCACAGGGCTCTATGGCCCGCCAGTCTTTAGAGCTCCTCCACCTTCTCTCGGAAATTCAGAGGAGTCAGACCAGCCGCCATCAACTGGGGCCCTCTCCCTGCACAGGAGGGCCACTCCCTGGTGTAGGGTCCCCGCTGGCCTGTACCTCTCTCACTTGGAGTGAAGCACGGGGCACTGGAGCCTGTGTTGCAGAGGAGCAGACTGACGGGAGGGATCGCAGGACTTGCACATGGTTCCACAGGGCAAGGTCTAGCACCCCAGTCCCAGGGTCCCTCATCCCCTGCTTCTCCACAGTTCTGAGAAGTCATATCTGGGGATGACACCATGCAGGGAAAGGATCCGTTTTCTTCTGAAGTTGCAGCTGTAAGACATGCAGGTGTGTGACTCACTTTGGAAATACTGCCTCCAGAATCACACCTGGAATGCAGGCATGCTGGAAGCAATGTTTATTGGCCTAAAACATCAATGCATGTAAGCATTTGTTTCCTGCTGATAAATTAGGGAAAGTACCTCTGAGTTGAGTGGCAGGAGTGAGATGCTATGTGGGCTGAATGCCAGAAACTAGAAGCTTGCTGAAACTTCATCATCACAGGAGAGCCTTCCTAGAATAGACCCAGTGTCCCTACCCCTGGGTTATAGGTAGCAGAATTCAGTTAATCCTTGGCATTGGCACAGAGAAAACAAGTTACCAGGGAGGCCTGGAGCATGGCATCCCTGCCAGCTGGCAGGAGAAGGTGGCTTGTGTGCCTTGCAAGTGAGTGTGAGCAGCTCATGAAGGTAGGCTTGAAGCCCCAGGCAAGCCCAGTGACCCAGTCACAGTGAAGTGCCTGTGTGTATAAGAAACTGACAGTGTGCTGTCCCTGCATCCTGCCCTTTGACATGTGTAGATCGTAGCCGGGGTGAACTACTTCTTGGACGTGGAGATGGGCCGAACCACATGTACCAAGAACCAGCCCAACTTGGACAACTGTCCCTTCCATGAGCAGCCACATCTGAAGAGGGTATGTGCCTCATGTGGGTCCAGGGCCAGTCATACACTGCAGAGGGGGGTGAGAGAGAGAGAGAGAGAGAGAGTGTGTGTGTGTGTGTGTGTGTGTGTGTTGCATGTGCCTGAGTGTGTATACATGTGGAGGTGCATGCGTGTTTCCATGTATAGGTTTGTGTGGGGAGGTACACATGAGTGTATGGTGTTTGGATGTGTTGGGGAAGTGTGGAGGTTTATGCATGGCTATGTGTGGGTATGAGTGCATATGTGTGTGCACATATGTGTGGGGGTGTGTCACATGGTGTATGAGAAAGTACCTGCAACTGTGTGTGCATGTAGGTGGGTAGATGTGTGAGGAAGTATGTGGGTTCATGCACAGATCCATGTGGCTGAGGGTTGGTGTGAGTTTAGATGCCTATGTGTGTGCAGATGGAGTGGTGTAGACAGAGGTGATGAATTCAATTTGCTAAGAGGGCTTTGTCTTGGAAATGGCGGTACTAGGAGCTCCACCCTGTGTGCTTTGGGGTGTTGCCTGCTGGACTGTAGGAAGCAGCTGCAGGGCTGGGTGCTGGGCAGGGAGAAGGGGCTCTCTCTAATCCCAGCCTCAGGCATCTGCCTGCAGCCATGGCCACACTGAGGAGATTAGAGGGAACTAGAGGCCTGTTAGCAGCCAAACCCTCAGGCCTGCCCTGCTCACCCAACAGCAGCCTCTCCAAGGACCTGGGATTTCTTTTGAGGTCTCTGCTCAGGGCAGAGCCACACTGTCCTTGTCATCTGCTCATCACTTCGGGCACTTAGAGTTGCAGTTTTCAGGTCCCTGGGTTCTTCCCTCTGGCCCCTCTTAGTGCTGGCCTGGGTGCTGGAGGTGGAAGGGGCTGGGAGCAGTGAGCCACTTCCCCCTGCCTGCAACCTTGGGGCTCCCGAGGCCTTGCACAGGCTGCTCCTCACAAGGCTGTGCTTGGGCAGGAATCCTGCAGACCCAAGTGAGGGCCCAGTGGCACCTGGTGGAGTTCGAGACCTGGGAGAGGGATGGAGCAGTCACTGCCCAGTCCCGTGGTGCTCTGGGATCAGCAGGGGTTGGTGGAGGGGTGGGTAAGGGCCCAGTGTTTCACCTCCATCCTTCCTCACCCCACCCACTCTGATGTCCTGTGACTGGGCATCTTCCGCTTTGAACTGTAACCCACACTGATTGTCCCTTCTGTTTTCTTTCACAGAAAGCATTCTGCTCTTTCCAGATCTACAGTGTGCCTTGGCAGGGCATAATGACCTTGTCGAAATCCAACTGTCAGAACGCCTAGGGGTCTATACCAGGCTGGCCTGTACCTGCCACCTGTTACGCACACCTCCACCCCTGTAGTCTCCCACCCCTGGACTGGTGGCCCCCACCCTGGGGAAGGTCTCCCCACACCTGCCCCAGGAGACAGAGAAGGCGGCAGGAGGCCTCTGTGGCTCAGCAGGGGGTGCTGCCCTCCCTCCTTCCTTCTAGCTTCTCACAGCCCCTGTGTGCAGCACACAGCACCCCCCACCTCCTGCAATAAAACAGTAGCATCGCCTCGCTCTGAGTTCTTGGCTGTCTGGGCATGTGCACACAGGCGGGGTGTCCGTCGTTCCCTCGTGAAGCCTCCTCGTTCTGCTGGTGTGGAGATCAGAGGAGCATCTGGGAGCTGAGGCGGCCACAGCAAGGCCATCCGAGGAGCTGCCGTGGCTTTAGGAGACCTGAGCCTCAGAACAGGGAGAGAGCAGCCAGGGGCTGGGGACCCAGGCCTTCAGCCGCAGCGGCCCCTGGTGAGGGGTCAGGGAGAGACGGGCGCCCAGGCTGTTGCCCCGGAAGCTGGCCTGCTGCTTTGGTCTGAGCTCCTGGTTAGACCAGGAGGAGGGGCTGGCTGTGTCCACAGGCAGGGGCCAGGCCTCGGTGGAGCTGGCCAGGCAGCTGTGCCTGCAGAGTTAAGCAGACTCCAGGGACTCAACCTCTCTCATCCAGTCCCCTAGACCAGGTGTCCTCAAACTTTTTACACAGGGGGCCAGTTCACTGTCCTTCAGACCATCGGAGGGCTGCCACATACTGTGCTCCTCTCACTGACCACCAATGAAAGAGGTGCCCCTTCCTGAAGTGCAGCGGAGGGCCGGATAAATGGCCTCGGGGCCGCAGTTTGGGGACGCCTGCCCTAGACGGTAAATAGGTAGCGATTGATGTTTGCTTCTTTCAAGAGACTTTAGGCCCCTACGTGGAAATAAAGTCCAAAAGTATGTGTGTGTAACTGATTGCCAGCCAGACCAGAGACGGGCAAGATCACACAGAGAGCAGCACCTGCTGTCATCCATCCTGGGAGGCTGTGTCCTCAGAGCGTTTTCCAGGCTCATGGCCACCAGCCCTTTCTCTAGACTTGGATTTAAAACAAGTCGTTCTGTCAGGCTTCATGGTGGGGATGAAGTTAAAGCACAAATGCCACTGACAGTGCAGTGAGCTCTTCTTTTTATCAAGGATTGAGGGAACATCCCGTTTGTGTCAGCGTCATCCTATGGAATAGTGGATCTTTGTCCCACAATCGGGAGACCACATTCCTAAGACACTGCCCACCCTTCACAGTCCTTCCCCTTGCTATTTCAGGACCTGGGTGGAGCCCTCACGGCCACTGCTGCTGGGACCAGGCTCCCAGCTTCCTTCCAAGCTCAGAGCTGCACTGACCCCCTCTTTTGGCCACTGCCATGAACACTGAAGGTGAAATGACGAAGGAGAATCCACCCCAGTAGCCCCAAGGCCAGCACTCCACGTGCTGTCCCCGAAAAGCCAGAGCAGGGGACACCCCAGGGAGAGTGGGGAGCATCTGCTTCCATTTCCTCTCTACCCCAACTTGTTTAAACAGGGTTTTGGGGTGAGGAAAGTGAAGCACTGCCTGAGCTGAGGAGAGTGGAGTCTGGGCCTCACCCTGTGGGGTGTGGGTGGGCTCAGTGACTCGGTTTTCTCTTGGGCGTTGGGAGTAAAGAGCCCTGCAGGGAGGTGCTCCTGGTTTTCTACTTGGGTGAAGGCTCTCTTGACAGGCAATCACCGTCCAGGCACACGGTGGAAATGAACAGCTGATTTTGTGCAGCCCAGCCCTTTTGCTGACACGGTTCTTCTTGAGGAAATTGAGGTGGGGCAGAGGCTGTGCACAGGGCTCCCAGCTCCCTTTGTGTCTGTTCCCTTCCATGCCCTCCACCTGGTGGCCAGTGGCCCACAGCCCACAGGGAAGTAGGTTGATGCTACCCCTGCCTCTCCTCCGCAGCCGGCAGGCCTGTAAATGCCTCACTTGGGTTCCCATGAAGCCAGTGAGCCAGAAGCCCCTCTGACCCAGAGGTCACTGTGACCAGCATGTCCTGGAGAAAAGGCCTCGCCCCTGCACCTTTCATCTGCAAGGGTTCCTTTTATTTATTTTAAATGTTGATTTAAGTATATACTTCATCTACAGTTATCCACATAAATAGATTCAGTACAGGGCCTCGCTCTGAATAAACACACAGTAAGTTGGAAACGCTTTTTCATTGATCCGGTTCTAACTGGCTTTATAACATGGTGCTGTGAGACCTCTTGCATTGTGATGCTGATGACTGCCAGTAGCTTCTGAGCTCCCTAGCATTCTAGTCCTGGAGGAAGCCAGCCTATGCGGAAGGATCCCTCTCCCTGGGACCTTCGGGCTGGCAGGGTGCCCCTTGATGGCAGGCCTGTGCACACCTAAGGCCCAGGGAGCTAAGAGGCCGAAGAAAGAGGCTGACAAGTCTAGTTTCTTAGAAAGAAACATGTAATAGGGACTTCGGAACAGAAGCCATGTCCTGCGTAACCACAAGACAGTGGGTCCCCACCTTGTTACTCGCCGGCCCAGGGCTTCTGTGCCATAGGGGAAAGGGTATAGGAGCTTTAGAAGGAATTTGCCTAAGGGCTAGATTTACAGTACACAGCAGATGAATTAGAAATCTTAGAAGCACCGATGGAACTGAGGCTCAGCACTGGCGTCCAAGACCCCCGTCTCCACAGGAGACCTCCCAGCGCCACGCCGGCGGACAGCCCACAGCACATTTCCACAGCCATGAGTCAGTTTCAGGATCTCAGTCCTAAATTTAGCTTGTTTTTTTTTCCATTTTTTAAATTACTCCATTTTAAATACAATATTTTTATATCCTTTAGGTAAGGACCATTCTCTTTATTCTTTTTCCCCCCAAATTTGGTTTTCTAAATGTATTTGTTCCTTCAAATGAAACTATTTTTTCAGGTTCCATAAGTAGAAATATTACATTTTGAATCAGGACTGTGTTACATTTATATTTTAATTTAGGGAAAAAATGGACAATGTTTAGCATTGAGCTTCTCATTGTACAATACCATGTACCTTGCAATACATTCCCGCTTTTCTGGTGGCCTTCATTAGAGTAAATTTCATGTATCTTTCATATTTTCTGTGAAATTTATTCCTGGCTATTTTATAGTTTGGGTCAGGAATATTTCCAAGTATTTTACCTCTAACTAGTCTTTGCTGATAGAGTCATATTGGTTTAGCCGGTTTTTTTTTTGCTTTGTTTTGTTTTGTTTTTTTAATCTGCCTTTGTGGTTTGTTATTTATGGACTTAGAGGCCTGGGATGTTGCCACCATGTTGCTGCCAGTGGCAGAAGGGAGCTGGCTTATGACTGCTGGCAGGAGTGACCTTGGACTAGGCCAGGAGCCTCACTAACAGATGCAGAGAGAGCAAATCACCAGCCCCGTCCCATAACTACAGGGCGAAGCTGGAGAGCGGAGGCCTGCGAAGACGGCAGCTCAGTCACCCCGTCCCCTCCCTATGCTCTCCTGTGCTGAGTTCATTGCTCAAACACACAAAACTGAGAAGCCATGAACAAAATGGTGACTAAAACAGGGAACAGGCATTTCTTTAATTACTCATATCTGCTCTCACCCTTGGCACTGGGATGCCAAGTGGGTCACTTCCAACTCCTGTCACCAGAGGCTTATGGGGTCGCGTCAGATGTGCTCAGGCCACTGTAACATCAGCTGGGGCTCTGGCTCCCTCGCGACCAGGCCAGGCTCAAGCCCGGCTGTGGACGGCAGTCACCGGGGAGCCTGGCTGCACATGGCAATCCTGTGGTCTCACCCTGAAAAGCTGATCATGTTCTGAGATGGGGCCTGGACATTGGATGTTTAAACACTCCCCCCATTGCTTCCCCAAGGAACCGCTGACCTATAACTCAATTAGAGTCCCCATCAAAGTCCAGTTGCTCCGAAAGCATCTGCAAATTGCATCAGGTGAAGATGTTCTCACGGTCACATCTGCCGTGGACACACTTTCCATGCAAGGTGTCTCTGCAAATGTGCAGCCCAGCCCCCTTGAATTCCAGTAAATAAAACACAGCAAAGCAAAAGCAAATGGAAATTCTTTCCACCAAAGCTTGTTTGGAGCAATGAAATTTGTTGGTGATTTCAGGAAATCGCCTCCTTCTCTGTGGAACAGTAACCCCCCCACTTCTTCAAACCCAACACTGGGTATTTCTGTCCCTGAAATGCCCTTGGCTTCCCTCCCAAAGGGAGTTGCCACTTGACCTTCACATTCCACGCCCCCACCAGTCACCCGATTGTTCCACTGCCTGCCCAGGGCCATGGGATTTCCCATCTGTCCACGCCATCCTCTCCACTGGGTCTCTCAACACGTCCACAAACTCCTTTGTGGGGTAGAACAATCTGGCTCTTTGTAGACTTCCCCACACCCGTCAAGGTGCTCATAAACCAAAGGCCTTCCTAGTGAACAGTAGCACCTTCTTTGTGAGGGACTTTAGATCACGAATAGCAACAGTTATTTATTTATCTATTTATTTTACCCAAATCCAGGACCCTGATGAACACACTGAGGAAAATGCTGCCTTTCCTGAATGGTTACCAGACAGGGAACATGCTGGGAAGTGTTTACCCCACAGGCTCTGTGCTTATCCCACTGGTCATCTCATGCTGTGTGCATAGAGGCATCATTACCGTCCGACTCAGAAGCCTCGGCTGCCCCACCTTTTTGCAACAACAATAACAGTTTCCCCACGGGATTCACACCTCCTCCCCTCTCACCTGTTTTCAGAGAAGCTGACTCTACCCTTTAAACTACAGCTCGAAGCACCTGACCCTGGCTAAGCTGGTCAGGGCAGCCGTCTCTCTCCCGTAAGCCTCAGTGATTGACATGAGGACAACACATGACCTGTGTGTGGCTGCCTGCACCCAGGAGGCTTAACAGTGGGATTTTGTTTGACTATGTGGTAAGTGCGTTCCTACTTCCCTGATGAGTGTGAAGATGGAAAAAGACATGAGATCTGGGGCCCACCTGGAGCCTGTTTGAGAGCAAAGCCAAGTTATGGGGAGCATCACAACTGAATCAAGAGACAGCAAGGAAGCCAGGCCTGGTGCACTTCCAGGTAGGCTGGAGGCTGAGATGGGAGGATCGCCCGAGCTCAGCAGTTTGAGGCTGCAATGAGCCATGATTTCACTATGGAACTCCAGCCTGGGCAAAAGAGTGAGACCCTGTTTCTCAGAAAAAGAGACAGACAGACAGA